TCACTCGCTGTATGTTTACATGAGTTCTTAGGTTCTTACTGTTCTATTCAGAATTCGGCCCTAGTTGCTTTTTTTTTTCATGACACTGCCTGTTCATGAAAAACAAATATTCAAGTGAGTGCTAAAAAGCACTCAAAAGCACACAATTGAAAAACAGACAGGCATGTCTATATAAGAAGAAGAAGAAAAGACTAGGGAGATTTAGAACAGCTAAATTTTAAATCCTCATAGGATCTTCCTGATGCAGTAAAAGTTACTTTTATTTCTTCCTCAGCAGTAATAGTTTCAGTTTGTCTCATTATGTAGTATTTTGTTTTATGGCTCGGGATTCGACTGATTCTAAAATAAACTTAAATTGGTGATCATCCATACGTAAATAATTTTTAAAATCGAATATTTCTGAAATCCTTTAACGAATTCTAATGTGGAAATTCCTTTTCTGATACCAGTCTTCTGACCATAAACGTTGTTGTTGACTGTGCATTATCATTCCACCTTTTTGGCGGCCTTCCAACTGGTCTTCTGCTATACGGTTTGTTGTTTTTATAGATGTTCGCTAATCTATCTGGTCCCATTCGGTTTACATGCTCGTTCCAGTTTTTTTTTTCTTGTTTTTATCCACCTGTTAATATTTTGAATTTTGCATTGTTCGCGTATACTTGTTGGTTTGTCTGTCTCTTAATGATATGCCCACTATTGATCCTATACTTTAATTTCGATATTGTTGATTTGTTGTTGTGTCTTTCTTGTATCGGTCGTTGTCTCCGCTGCATATGTTTGGTCTTACTGTTATCTTGTATAATTTCATTTTGCTTTCCGTGGTCAGATATTTGTTTCTCCATATGGTTTCTCGGAAGCAACCACATACTCTTGCCCCTTTTGATGTTTGCCTTGTGGTCTCTGTTCTTATATCCCTGTCACTAGTGATCCTTACTCCTAGGTAATTGAATTTCATTACTTGTTGTACAATTTTGCCGTCTATTTCTAGTTTGCATCTACGCGGCTCTTTACTGATCACTACACATTTAGTTTTTTCTACTGATATTGAAGGTGTGGAGCTACCTTTGTAGGTCACCTTCGGTATCAGCAATTAGTACTGCATCATCGGCATAGCAAAGTATCGTGATTTTATGCGCTCCTATGGTATCCGTGTCGTTTTCTTACTTCGTGAAGTGAACTATTTGATTCATCACCATATTGAATAACAATGGGCTAAGCGAGTCTCCTTGGCGGATCCCTCTTTTTAGTTCTATGCATTCTGTTTCTCCTGTTGGCATTATAACTCTGGTCTTGTTGTTCTTGTTAATTTCATTAATTGTCCTTATCATCTGATGGTCTATTTGTTCAGCTTGTAATAAATTTAAGATTTTATTTCGCTTCACCCTGTCAAAAGCTTCTTTTTAAATGTGCAAAGCAAATGTATGCTGGTTTTCCGTATTCAATAAACTTCTCTATTAAAATCTAGAAATGCATGCAGGTTTTCTATTAAAATCTTAAAATGCATTACATGTGTTAGCTCACTGTCCTACTTCAAAATCGTAGAGTGTTATAATAATTACAACATTTTTAAAAACAAATATATTTAGCGCAGTCAAAATTATGATATATGAAATAATAATTCAACCCAAGTCCTCATGTCAAACACGAACCATGAACCACACGGTCCCAATAACATAATTTATCGGTAGCCTTGTTATCAGGTTCAACCTTCTATAATGGTCGCTTTAAAAAGCAAATTATTAGTGAATATATCTACCACAGGCATGTGAATATATTAATAATTAAGAATTACTTTCCACACTATTTTAGTAAATTACCTATCTAAAAATAATTACTTTCTTCCTATACGCAACAACATGGCTGTAACTTTTAATTTAAATTAAGTTTTATCTTTAAATTAACTTTAATTTATTCTATTTATAATATTATACAGTAATAACTGTTCATATCAAGGGCGAACATTCCCAGCGTCGAATTTGTCATTTCGTGGGAAAAGGCTTACGTATCGTTCTATAAATACATTCCCTAGCGCAGAGAGGCAGCTGTTCGTATTTTTCAACCGCAAGCCCAACAACATCCGATCACCGACGCGACGGTTCTTTGTTCAACGGACGAGTCGACTTTTTTGTAGAGGGGTGGTAAGTTACTTAGCCAGCCAGCATTATTAAAAGTATTCAGAGGAAAGAAGGATAGGTAACGTTCTATAAATACATTCGGTAGTATAGGCAGCTGTTCGTATTTTTGAGCCGCAAGCGCAGTAGCCGATCACCTTTTTCTTTGTTCGATGGGCGAGTCGATTTACTTATTTAGAGGAGAGGCAAGTTACAAAGTTCAGTTACACTCAACATTACTAAATACTCTTATCGTTCCTTGAATGTTGTGCAATCGGTTTATAGTGTTTGAAAATGGCGGATAGGAAAAGTGTGCGCGCACACTAAAAATGTGCGCAGGCTGTGGTTATCGGAAAAAGAATAGGTTTTGGGAATAATTCAAAGACAGTTTACTTACCAGCTATGATATTTATTATATATAACGAACTTCTTATAAGAAATGGTAATTGCCGCCATCTTATAAAATGTTGACCTTTATACGAAACTAGCGGTTTTGCCCGACGCACGTGAGGGGAGATCCATTTAATTCCATCTACAGTCACTCCTGAACTTAAAAAAATAAATAAATAAATAAAAAAGGCACGTGGCACTTGAGAGTGCCGACAGAAGTGAATGCTGCTTATAGCGCGTTATTACTATGTGGATTAATAAAATTTTATTTAATGTTTAATTTTGTTTACTTTTATTTAATTTTAATTAATTTTACTTAATTTAGTGTTATTTAGTTTTACTTTATTTGATTTTATATAATATTGTATAATTTTATTTATTTTTTTTTTTTATTTAATTTTTTCTCATTTTATGTAACTTTCCCTAATTTTCTTTAGTTTTGTTTAATTTTACTTTTTTTGTTTAATTTTATTTAATTTCATTAAATTTTATTTAATATTGTTTAATTTAATTTAATTTTGTTTAATTTTACCCAATTATATTTAGTTTTGTTTAATTATTTTGTTTTATTTAATTTTATTTAATTTTACTTCATTTTATTTTACTTCATTTTATTTTATTTTATTTTAATTAATTTTTATTTAATTTTATTTAATTTTGAATATTTTTATTTCATTTTGTCTCATTTTATTTAAGATTACTTTATTTTATTTCATTTTGTTTAATTTTACTTATTTTTGTTTAATTTTATTTAATTTCATTAAATTTAATTTAATATTGTTTAATTTTTTTTAATTTACTTCATTTTATTTAATTTTATTTTATTTTAATTAATTTTTAATTTTGCATAATTTTATTTCATTTTATCTCATTTTATTTAATTTTATTAAGGATTATTTTATTTTATTTAATTTTGTTTAATTTTACTTATTTTTGTTTAATTTTATTTAATTTCATTTAATTTTATTTAATTTTATTTTATTTTAATTTTATTTCATTTTGTTTTATTTAACTTTAACTAATTTTACTTAATTGTGGTTAAGGTTATTTGGTTTTATTTAATTCTATTTACCTTTTTTATTTATTTTAAATAAATTCTATATATTTATTTATTTTAAAAATACGTTTAAATATCAAATATATACTTGAGAAAATTTATGATAAGGTTTTGTGTAGTAGACTGTCAAGACGCTAGGAATTTGTATCGGCTGCTTATCTTTCCCTTTTTGCGATGGACGAGTCAAATTTCTATTTGGGGAGGAGACATACGTTATACATATAAGTTAATTTATTTGGTCCATATAGATAGTAGTTTCTGAGCCTCACCAGAAATAATGTTCATTAAATTTATCATTATTTGGGCGCGCGCAATATAGATTTATATCGTTATAAGTGCGTATAGCAAAAGTATGTGTATCGGCCGTGTTCTATTAAAAAAAGAACGTAAATAAACCAAAAAAATACACTTTTTACAATTATTAAGAAAGGACCCGGATGATTTATTTACGGTTCTTTTCTTAAAAAAAACGCTGTTTCTGATATAAATTATGCTAGCTGTATATCTCATTTGTAAAGTAACGTGGAATCTCATATTAAATATTGCGTGTTCATTTCTTTAAATTATGAATGTTTTAACATTTAGTAACATTTCATTGCTTTGGGTTTTTATGATACACCGATTGTATATAAGTATGTCTAAAACCGAATGATTATTAGTTCTCTTTGTCATCTTTTTTTGCATCCATAAGTGTTCTAATGGGTTGTGTAAACGCTATTAAGATTGCATAAGTTATATGACAATAAAACACTGAAACAAAACTCTATTGCCTTTAACTGAACAGGTTGAGGAGGGTAGAACTGTTTGTCCTTAGTTGGTCCTTCAGAATTATGCCTGTATTTTTTAGTTTTTTAATTTCCAATCTGTTTTTCTATTATTGAAAGCCATTTTATGTTCTGCTAAACGTTTGTTAAAAGTTATAACAGTTTGACCGATGTAAGTTTTTGGGCAGTTGCCATATTTAAGTTTGGAAACAAAGTTTTCAGTGTTTTATTGTTAAATAAAATAAATTTCCATCAAGTAACGGTCGAATCCATCACTCATTGCATAAGTACTTAATTTTGAATGCTGTTTACTGTCATGATAAATTAGTTCGGGTTCGATGTATTTGACAATCAGTTCATACAGTAACGGACTCTTGACAGATTATAGATTGAGTATAGCACACAATGAAAAAAATGTTAAACAAAAAAGTGATATTTGTTACTCTACTTTTTACCATGATAATGCTTCATTAATGCTGAATAATTACAGTAAAGTTACTATGTTTCCAGTTTTTGTGTTCGGTGTATAAATGAAAAACAATTGATCGTATGTAAATATTTTGTGATTGCTTTACAAATCAGTTAAATTTGCAATGAATTGAAATAAAATCAGGTTAACATGTTTTAATTTCTGTATACCCTCAACAATAATTATTCACAGTATATTTTTTGTTGCAGATTTTGGAGAAAGACGTCGTCTCGAGGAAAATATGTACCGCTTGCAGCCAAGTCGTTATTAAAATGCATGAATTCAGAGAGAGATCTATTAAGACTGATAAATATCTCAAGGTAATTTATAATTTTGTTTTAATTCTTTTGCCTCGTATCAAGAATAACAAGATTAATCTTAAATATGTATTTTTACATCTCACATATCTGTCAAACTTCTCGAGAATACGCGCATACATTATGACAATATTAATGTAATGCTGTGCAATTTGCCTTTAGGTCAGATTCGGCTTAATTCATTTTTTGTGATGACCGGGAATATGATATTTTACGGTTATATGTTGAATCCCATGAAATAACTTTTAATATTCTTTCATTCCACGGATGATTCGCAAATGATACTTTTTTATAAAAGAAGTGCTTAAATTTATTAACAATGTGTGATAATAAAGAAAAGTATTGCATTCAATAGTCTAGATTTTGTAACTTTTTTATCACAAATTCGGGGCAATTGTTACATATTTTTGATTAGTCTTGTAAAACGGTTCTTGTATAAATTCTCACTTAGAATCTTACTAATATGGTAATAAAAATGCAAGTGCTTCTGTAATTGAAAACAAATAAATGTTTTTTTAATGTTTTTCTTTCAATTTTTAATCTTTTAATGATTAATCATTGTATGTCTATATAAACTAATAATTGAATTCTTTTTGTTTTCAGGAAAAATGTATACAGCGTTTAAAAGCGACGGAAATGAAAATTCCCAACACCAATGTCACGATTACAACAACAAAACAACTCAGAACAGAAACGCTAGACGATTCCTATCATAATAATCATAATTTATACCAAAATGAATTAAATGAGGTAGATGGATCAAAAAAAGATGAGAATGATACTTATTCTCATAATTTAAATATACCTAAAAAAGTAAAAGTTCACGAATCAGTGTCAGAACTTTTTAAGCGTCATCCGAACCTTAAATTACGGACTGATGTTCTGAGTTTCGATGTAAATCCCTGTATCAGCTTAGAGTTAGACGCAGTCGAAAAATACTGTAGTGACAATAATATAAATTTAAAATTAGCAACGGACGATAAAAATATCTCGATTACAAACAATTCTGCAGAAACAAGTATTTCAGAAAACACAAGTTATAGTCCGGATAATCTGGAAATTATTTCTAATCATTTATCTAAACGTAAAAGGGAAAGTAATGAAAGTAACAACAATAACGAGGAAATTACCGTAACCCAACAAAGTAAAATTAAAAGGCGAAGATTATCTTCGAGTGATTTTATATCCGATACGGACCAAAGAAACCCAACATTATTTGAAACTTTAGAATTAAAACCCAGTCAACCTTCATCTAAACAAACAAAGACTCATAAATGCAAAATTTGCTTATCAATTCACAAAAACGCAAAGACTCTTAAAATTCATTACCAAGAACATTTTTGTTGCAGCTTTTGTAGAGCAAGATTCAGAATAGTCGAACGTAGAATATCCCATGAAAAGAAATGTACCATAGGTCACGCTTTAAATAGTAGACCATATGTCGAATTAACCAGAGTTGATTTTGATCCGAATATTAGAAACAAATATCTTAATTGTAATTCTGTCATCAACAAAAATAGTTTACATGGTAATGAAGTTATACTATTATCCGACGATGAAGAACCAGTTAATAAGTCAACTAGCATTACTAACATAACGGTAGTTGCAACGGAATCCAGCAGTATTGAAAACGTGACCAATAAATGTTTAACGGAATTAAACAATGTTACAACATATTCTCCAGCTAAATATAACACGTTTGTACAGTCCCCTACTGCAATCAGTAACAACGAACTTTTATCTCAAACTGAGGTATCAAACACTACTGATGCAGAAGTGTTGTCAGTTCAGTATTCAAGCACAGCAATAGTGAGACCTGATATTAGATTACAAGAAGACACATTAGTAGACATCAATAATATAAAGGGTTCTGATAATATTCTGCTAAAAGACTTACTACGACACGCAAAACGAGTCAAGCATAAGTTGTTAAAAGCTCCAAGTAATGAGGATATAACTAGAAATGGGATAATGAAAAATATGTTTTTACAATTAGGCTTGTATAAAGTTCCAGTAAATATTCGACATGGTCAACATTGTGTAACTATCTCTGAACAAGAATCTAACACAACCAAAGAGGTAACAATGTGGAATGACATAAAACCATTGCCTTTATTGAATAAAAAGGCAAATGTGGATATTAAAAATATAACATTGAAACTAAGTGAAACTGTACTCACAAAGTCTGTAAAAACAAATAACCCAGCGAAGGTGCAACGTAGGCATTCGATTCCGTATGTACTATACGGACCAATATCAAAAATTCGCCAAACGGTATCAAATATGGCAACGTCTAATACCCAATATTCCAACACGCACTCAACTCAAGATCAAACAATGGTATCTACTCCTAATATGCTTTCACAGTCTTCTACAACGGTCACATCTCCTAATGGTGTTCAAACTGTTTTTTCCCAACATTTTACCCCCAATTTTCTTAATACTTCAAACGCACACTTACTTAATTCTAGAAATAATACTTCACCAGTGAATAGTAATACCAGTTCGCCACAACTAATTCCCCATACTCCAAACAATGCAATAGTTAATACTGCTACATATAATTCTCGACAAGAATTTGTACCTGTATCAAACACTTTAATTAATTCAACAAATGATATTTCTCAAGTTTTTCGATCATCTGGTGTAATTATGCCAGGTGTTAACCATCGATCAATTTCAAGACCAAATAATACTTCACCATTGAATAGAACTGCTAGTTCTCCACAAATAGTTCCAGATACTCCAAACAACGCAATAGTGAATACCGCTTCACATAATTCTCGACATGAATTTCTACCTCTGTCAAACACTTCAATTAATTCAACAAATGATATCTCTCAAGTTTTTAGATCATCTGGTATAATTAGGCCAGGTGTTAATCATCGATCAATTTCAAGATCAAATAGTACTTCACCACTGAATAGAAACGCCAGTTCTCCACAAATTCTTCACACCTCAGTTAATAACGTTACTAATAATTCTCGACAAGAGTTTACTCGACCAAATACTTCACCACTGAATAGTAATGCCATTTCTCCACAAACAGTTCCTCATATCCTAAACAACTCAATAGTTAATAATACTACAAATTATTCTCAACAAGAATATATACCCCTATCAATCACTTCAATGAATTTAACAAATAGTAGTTCTCAAGATTTTAGATCCGGCGGTGCCGTTATGACAGATGGTAATCATCCATCATTTTTAAGATCTGTTTCAAATCCTGCAGTAAATGATTGTAACCTTACCAACTACAATCGTTTCAGTGCTCCACCTAACCAAAAAAATGTACAATATACATATTCTAACAGTAATAATCAACAGATTACTACACCTTCGTTAAATAATCAAAGTGTCATACTTAACTCTCTAGTCGCAAATGGTAATGCACGTCAATACAATAATCTTCAACAGAATACCTTGAACGCAACAAGTCTTATGCCAAATAATAATAGCAATAATAATTTAAGTACCTCTAGTATTCCCTATCAAATTTCTGCTCTACCTAATAATTTCTCTTCCTCTAGACCCATGATTAGAGTTAGAAGTTTACAGGAATTAAGATAATTGTAATTAAATATATTTTTATATTTTTGTACTGTATTATTAAAATAATAATAAATCGTTACTACATAGTTTTTTTATTACCTCTAAATATCCAGATACGTTTAATTAAATACACAATATAAAGTGCACAACTGCCCTTACCCAACATTTTCTAAATCAAAAGGTTATTCATTCATCATAAAGCATTAATCAATTTTTGGGTAAAGGTACAGTTTTAAAAAGATATAAGAATTATCCAGAATCTCTATTGGAATCAAAAAGCACGAATGAGACTGAACAAATCAACCAACACAGAATTTGAAATTTCAAGAGAAGTGCAACAGGGGTGTATTTTGTCTATGTTCTTCAATCTCTATGTGGAGAACATTTTTGCAGAGGCACTGGAAGGCTCTGAGTGTGGAATATAGGTAAACGAGTTCCCGATAAATAACATTCGTTACGACGACGACACCGCGATAATAGACAAACATGATATGCATTTGATGTGAAATAAAATAAACACCGTAGGAAAAATATATGGCTTGAAGATAAATGCTGGAAAAACTAAATGCATGGCAATAAGAAAAACGTACTTTTAAGAATGCAACTGCAAGTAGATAATGCTCCAATCGATCAAGTGAAAACATTTCAATACTTGGGAATGAGGATGAATGACCAATGGGATCCTCAACAAGAAATATTCTGCTTGACAACAAGACAAGCTTTTATTAAATTTAAACCGCTACTATATAACCGCAATCTTTCCTTCAATCTCCGTTACAGAATGGTTAAATGCTATCTATGTATGGTCCATATTGTTATACGGCATGGAAACATGGACGTTAAGAGTACCTTTCATTAATAAGTTGGAGGCCTTCGAAATGTGAATGTTGCGAAGAATGTTCCGCATACCATGGACAGATAGGGGGAGAAACGAGGAAGTCTTAAGAAAGGCAAATACTAAGAGAACTACTCAGTTTTAGCAAGGTACGAAAAATTGGATACCTTGGCCATATTCTGAGAGGAAAAAAATACGCAATGCCTCAACTAATCGTCCAGTGAAAGATTGAAGGCAAGAGAGGAGTAGGTCACAAACAAATGTGACTACGGAACATTAACTCGTTGACTGCGCATGACTCGGATCCGAGTCGGCAGCGCTGTGCGCTTGATGCTCATGACTCAGATCCGAGTCAGAAGCATAGCGAAATTGAAATCATTATTACTCTGTTAGCCTTTGAGTAAAGTTGTCGATTTTTTGTGAGCGCGTGGGTGAAATAGTGTATATTCGAAAAGTGCCGTTCGTTTTCATTTGACAGTAGTGTATCAAGGATATTTGTAACAGATATGGAGCATGATGAACCTGGACCTTCAGGCATTAAAAAAATGAATTGCAGAGATACGAACGGGAAAAACTAACACATGACGAGTTATTTAGTATACTAAACAACTCATTTAGCGACGATGTGTTTGATGTGAGTGACGATGATTCCGAATCTTCTTCTGACAATAATTATTCCGGTAAGTAAATTATATTTCTTTTCATTAATCTTAGATAATAAGGGATAATTTATTGTTGTATAGACGATGACATATTTGATGAAATGGCTGACATTATGGACCGAGACCAAGACAATGACGCACCTGAAGAAGAGGATGTCAGAAACCGAGCTGCAACTTGGAAAGATGATGTTTCTAAAATGCGAAGTTTGCCATTTGCAAAAGGTGCTGGCTTATTAATTGATCCTCCATTGAATGCGAAGCCGATAAACTATTTCAGACTAGTAGCTGATGATAATTTTTTAAACATGGTGGTAAATCAAACAAATTTGTATGCTGAACAAACTTTTTTATCTGAAGTTGGTGGTAAGGAAAATTCTAGAATTTCTAGGTGGAAACCGCTTTCTTTACAAGAATTTTTAGTGTTTTTAGGCTTAGTTTTTCATACAGGCACTGTCCGTATTTCAAAATTGGAGGATTATTGGAAAAAAGATCCATTGTTTAATATACAATGTTTCTCACAGAACATGGGCAGAGATCGATTTCTTCTGATTTTGAGGTGTTTACACTTCGCCCCTAATCCCGTGAGACCTAATAAAGTTCCTACAGATCGCTTATATAAAATAAGGAAGGTCATAGACTTTTTCCACAATAAAATGGCTAGTTTATATTATCCAGGGAAAGATTTATCGTTAGATGAATCTATGGTTCCATGGAAAGGTCGACTTAATTTCAAGCAGTACATTAAGCAAAAACGTCATAAATTTGGAATTAAGCTGTATATGATCACTGAACCTGCGGGTATTGTTTAAAGTGTATTGGTATATGCAGTTGCTTCAGATAAGATCATAGGAGGGAAGGGCCATGCTACCAAGGTAGTTCTCGAAATTGCCAATAGATTCTTGGATTCCGGGCATGCCCTCTATATGGACAACTTTTATAACAGTTATTTATTGGCTAAACATCTTTTAAGAAGGCGTACTTTTTGCACAGGTACATTACGCGCAGGTAGATCAGGGAATCCCCTAGAGGTTATCAATGCTAAATTCAGAAAAGGGGAAACTAAAGCACAGTACTGCGATGGGATAATGATTGGTAAATGGCATGATAAAAGAGATGTCTTGTATATATCTAGTGAGTTTCCAAATACTCTTACGGAACATACTACGAATAGAGGATGTTGTCAAGCCATTACCAATATTAAAATATAACAAATATATGGCTAAATTAATGGGAAAAACCCCGTAATTGGCTGTATACCATCGTTTAAAAAAACACAGAAGTTAAAACACTTCACAAATGTGTATTTAGGTATAAAACAAACAAGTTAAAACTTTTTAAAAAAGTGTCGTCACATTTAAAGTTCTGGCAGAACGTTTTCGATCACTACGGATCAACTTCAGTGCCTCGTATTTGTTGCTAACTATATAAATATGGTGTCTATAAGACTACCATGTTTGATTTGGTAAAGTGTCACATTTTACATTAGGTAATGTTGATACTGTAGGTCGATGACAATGGATGTATTTAAAATTTATTACTTTAGGGACTACATGTCTCCTAAGCTCGAGTACTTGCACGTTGTCCATGTTGACAACGTGCAAGTACTCGAGCTTAGGAGACATGTAGTCCCTAAAGTAATAAATTTTAAATACATCCATTGTCATCGACCTACAGTATCAACATTACCTAATGTAAAATGTGACACTTTACCAAATCAAACATGGTAGTCTTATAGACACCATATTTATATAGTTAGCAACAAATACGAGGCACTGAAGTTGATCCGTAGTGATCGAAAACGTTCTGCCAGAACTTTAAATGTGACGACACTTTTTTAAAAAGTTTTAACTTGTTTGTTTTATACCTAAATACACATTTGTGAAGTGTTTTAACTTCTGTGTTTTTTTTAAATATATGGCTGGTATAGATAGGCAGGATCAGATGTTGTCGTATTACCCATGCTCCCGAAAAACGCTACGCTGGTATAAGAAACTAGGGCTCCATTTTTTCCAGATAATGCTACTGAATGCCTTTTTGTTGAACAATAAATACTCTGAAAAAAAACTCCGTTTTTCAGATTTCAGACTTGAAGTAATTCGTGAATTACTACCTAAAACAAATAAAGATGTACGACTCAATCCCACTACTGAACATATACCTACCATCATTATTGTGAAATCTGAAAAAGCTGAAACAAAGAGGAAAAGATGCAGACTATGTTCTTTGTCCAAAATTCGGAAAAACACAATATATGAGTGTGCTGATTGTGAAGGGAAACCCGGTCTCTGCCTAGGTGATTGTTTTAGAGAATATCATCAATCTAATAAATAGTTTGTTTCTCCAGTTATCTTAATTTAATTTGAAATATATTTTGTTTTGTGATTTTTATTATGTATGCAATATTTATGTGTTTTGTTTATTTAGTTTTTAACGATGTTTCTCCAGTTTCTTGTATTTTTTTAAATACGAAAAATATAAGAAAAATACATTTTATTAAAATAAATTTTTCATATATTTTTTAAATATATTGTATTTAATTGATAGATAAGTGCCTACAGTAACAGATATTTCAATCTAACTTATACAGGTGTTATTCAATATTTGCCTAATTTTTTCTTTAAGTAATCGGTTATGTTTTATACAGTTTCATCCTGAGCATCCATACATATTACTTTGGTGATTTTTCTGTTTTGAAATGTGCAACTGTTTGCAAATGTTTTCTGGTTAAGATTACAATGTTCAGCGGATTAAAATTTTCTGAATAATTTAAAATTTTATTGTTATAAGGTTTGAATGAAATATTTGGTTTATTAGATTTTCGTAATTAGAATATCTGTTCAAAAATATACATTTTAATATTATAAGTGCCTTTAATTTTACCTACCTGTAATCCTTCTAACAATTACTAATATTCAAATTAACATTTTTGAATATGTTCTTAATTGCCAAGGGTGGTCGATTTAAATCACTCAATTTGTTATCAGGCAACAATCTACCTAAGCTGTTTACCTGTCTTTACTTTCTAAATTTCAGTGAGCTGCACAGGTAATAAAACTAATTGAAAAAAAACCTTTCTATCATGGTTATGAATCAGCAAAACTTTACAAAAGTGCTGTTTTGATACTTTCAAAATTCAACTTTATATTCATTCTTTTGTTTTGAATAACACAGTAGCGACTCATATCGCTACTCAAAATATAACTAATGTGCTCACGACTCGGATCCGAGTCATTTTTTAAAATTAACTAAATCAAATTAAATAATATAAAAATATGTTAAATATAACCCTTTATTTAATAAATATTTCATTTCCGAATCAATATTTTCAAAAAATCTTGATTAGCATAGGGCCGCATTTCATGAAAATGCGTTGAGCAGTCAAAGAGTACTGGACAGGCATAAATAACACTGGCGATCTTTTGCATGCCTCTAAAGACAGGCGTCTGGCCTTAAGATAATTCGCCAGCGTACTATAGGTGCACGGCACTATAAGAAGAAGAAGACCAAAGGTTTTATGGCGTTAACCGGTAATACCTTATTTTAAAACTCTTCAACGATATTTCACTAGTATCATCAACTCT